GGGCCACCAGAACCCCTGCTATAAGGCTGCTAGGAAAGGAAGGGCCACCAGGGACCAGCAAGGGGAGCTGGAGCTCTTGAGAAGCCGACTATGATAACCTACACATCTAAACCCCTGACAGCCAACAGGTCTACCTAACAGTGAGGACACAGCTTGGAAATGTGAGCAAGGGAGGGAGAACCCAATGTAGCAGCAGTCTTTCCCAGGTGCCACCCACAGCTCCCATCACTTAGGCATTGCAGAAAGGGAGGTGAGGAGCAGCATTCCAGAGGTAAGAAAATCAATCAATGAACGTTCTGACAGCAACTTTAGGGTTGATCTGAGCACCCCCCAACCTCCCCACTGACAGCTCCTCCCTGGGAGAGTTTACACCACTTTTTGGAAAAGACTGATCTGGGTGGCCCAAGAACTTCCACACAGACACCAGTCATGTTCAGGCCACACACAGCCTTCCTGCCTCACAGCTAAACGTCCTTGACTCTATTTTTATAACAGGAGGGACAACCGAGGCTCTAAACAGTCGGAACTGATGCACATCCTTCCCCTTCACTAGACCAAACAACAATAAACTACCCAGGCGGTTTATGCCGCATCCTCAGTGCCAGGCTCATGGACATTTTACTAGGAAACCTTTTAGTTTGCAATGAAGACCTGGCCTTGAAAGAAGATGCAGCTATATTAGGACGGAAAAGATAAGAAAGGCAATCAGCAGGATGAAAATGCTTACGCAACCTGAGTTCATAACTGAAATGCCAAAGCTCAGCGCAGGCGGGTGAAGGTTAAGTGGGCAAGCGGCCATCGAGTCTCAACAAGCACCCCTGAATAACACTGACTTCTGGACAACACATTTGGGTTGGCAGGACTTGACTGGACACACCTATTTCTCCCAAGCTGCTGCTGTTACTTTCCATACGGGCATCCGTAGGGTCTCTTGCCTCGGAACATGTTAGAAGCTAAAAACATTTTTAAGTAAAGATGAAAACCACTGTGCTTCCTTGCTCAGAGTTCAGAGGCAGTCTCAAATGCAATTTAACACCTTGGAGCTTTACTTCCACCCTAAAGAGCTAACTAGTTTGTCACCTATGAATCTCTAGGCCAGTGGAAAATCTGTAAGGTATCCATGGAAAACCCCAATTTCTCCATTAGAGAGCACAGCTGGATGATGTGTTACTTTGCTTATTAAAAGACTGCAGTCTGAGAATGTCTGATAAAACCCACGGTCAATAAAACAGCAGCAGGAAAGTCTTCGGTAAAACATGGAGAAGCTGTATTCCCACCACCGGCCATCTTAAGAGGCCAGTGATGACTACTTGGTGCTTCTGGAAAGTTCTTATTCTAGGTGCTCACCAAAGTTATTCCTGACACCGAGGAGGAATGAAGGAGAGATTTAACACCAATGTGGATCTGACCCAGTCATACCCCTTAAGTTCCCGGACACACGTCTTACCATGCCTCCCCTCCCCAGAAAGAAAATCCATAGTTACACGTGCTTTCACCAGCAACCACGCTGTCTGTGGGGAGCGGGGAGAGGGATAAGGCGGCACTTTCTGCTTTCTGACTGAGGACACCTTCAGGCACGTGCGTCATGTTCCATAACCACGGGGCCGAGTGTGCGGGAACAGCTCACACAGATTACACCGCAAGCAAGGACGGCAGCTGAACACCCCCCAGCGTCTGCCTGATGGTCACCCCAGCCTGTCAGAATCCACAGTGTACAACCGTCTCTGCAGAGGGTGACTTCCAAGCCCCAGGAGACGGGCCACTCAGCAAGGCAACGGTCACTACAGCAAGGCTGCTGGTTCACAGCAGACTGCCCGCTGCCCTCCTTCCCTGCTCACTAGCACTTGTCTGGAGATGCAGCGTGTAGGGTGTCTGGAGACGCGGCGTGCGGGGTGTCTGGAGACATGGCGTGTGGGGCAACGAGATGCAGCATGTGGAGTGTTGGGATCCATATCACATTGGGAGGAACAAACAAACTACATTATCGGTTGATTCACGTGAACACTCTGATTGCAAATAAAATATAGTCAGATACTGGAAATTTCACATGGGGCAACCTACATTAGGCTGGAAACGGTAAGAAAAGTGGTCAGCTGGATAAAAGCACTGACCTAGAGTACCCACCTGGGTTTATAACCGAATGGCAAAAGCTGAGCCAGCAGGATAAAGGATCAGTGAGTTCTCGGCAAGCTGGTGCAGGAGGCCCACAGGACTCTCTCTCCAAGCTGGTGGAGGAGGCCCACAGGACCCTCTCTCCAAGCTGGCGGCTGAGGCCCACAGGACTCTCTCTCCAAGCTGGCGGCGGAGGCCCACAGGATCCTCTCTCCAAGCTGGCGGCGGAGGCCCACAGGACCCTCTCTCCAAGCTGGCGGAGGAGGCCCACAGGA